AGAATAGGGTCAACCTGTCACTTCAGAAAACCCACTGCTCTCTGAGCAAGTATCAGTACAGATGTCTCTGAGCCTCGTAATTCTGTGTCTGGTAACCTGGGCTTGAACCCACATCCAGCTTTTCCCTTGGCTCTCTACCTCTGTCCCCCATTCCTCTCCTGTTCCAACCCGGCATTATTTCCTCAGTGTCTGTGCCAGAGGCCACCAGGAGCCACTTGCTCTATTTCTAACTGTAGGGCTCTGCTCTGAAGTCTCAAACCTACCCTGTCAGCTCTTTCCTGCCTACACTTGTTCCTGACAGTGACAGCCCAGTCTGCCCAGGTCTAGCAGGACCTAACCCTTATTCTAGCAGGCATGTAATACATTGGGTTGTAACAGCCATCCTTTCTAGGAGGGTAGTATTTTTTATGCTACCTCCTAGTTACCATGCTATGGGTGCCAGGTATGATGGGCTCCATGGATTCCTAGTGTGTAAGGGGATAGAAAGACACAGAGAGAAGTGTGCCTCTGTTAAAGGGGCAATTGAAGTCTGCTTCAAAGAGTGAGGTACAGAAAGCCTTGTTTAGCTTTAGGAAGACTTATTCAGTGACTTATAGGAAGGGAAGACTGTCCTCTCAAAGTTAAGAAAACATTTAACCAGAATCACTGAGAACTTACAACTCATCAAATTAAAAAGTTCATTGAAGTCATACTTAAATAAAACGAGCAGTGTTGGACTTTGATTAAAGAACAAGATATGTGAAGAGTGTCAAGATAATCCTATGTACAAGTCAGGAGAGGTGAGTCAGTGTATTTCCTTGTATGGATTAAAAAAGCCTCAACTATCCAAAGCCCTTAGTCTTGCAGTACAGTTTAGACCAAGAAGGAGCTGAGAAGGTGAACAGCAGCTCTCTGATGGTAAAGCTGCAGCCCCCAGTATGCTGAGCTCACCAGAATGTTTCTTGAGACCCTCCAGAGAGGTATAGGGCACAGAAACATAGCACAGAAACAAGTAGAGGCCACATGTTGGGGTAAGCAGGAAAAATGGGAATTATGACAAATTAGACACTAGAACAGAAGACACAGCAACTTCAGAAAAGAGGAACCAGAAAAAAAGTTTAAGACTGAAAATCTCTGTTCCCTGGTGGGAAGCCAAGAGCCATGAGCTCTGATTCTCAGGGTACATCCTCAAAGGCAGGATTAGAGGATTGCCATGCTGTGTGCCCTTGTGGATAGAAGCAGGAGAGACTCCCAAGGCCAGCAGTAGAGCATCAGGACTGCCTCCCAATGAGTACAGCTGAACAATCTCAGGGGTCATCTACTATTTACGGTGCCATTGGGTGTGGTTCAATTTCCTCAGCTGTAAAATGGGGATAATCATAGCACCTACCTCATTTCAGATCAGTGTGAGCATTAAAGGGTTTAGTACCTACAAAATAATGCCTGGCACTCAGTCAATATGAGCATTAGAATTATAATAATGGGTATTACTAACATTCAAGGCTGGATCATCTATATAGAATATGGTATTTACACAAGTGAGCCCATGGGTTAGTGTTTCATAGGTCCTCTTCAGCATTGGGTGTAGTGGAAAGTATGAGTAGAAATGCACCAAAATTGTATAAAATGGCACTATACTAGAAGAGGGTCATCTCTATGTGAGTTGAACAGGGCACGTACAGGAAAATGCTGTTTGAATCTTAAAGTATTAATTAACTTTGCACGAAATTGGAACTCAGACATGCTCACAATTTAAGTTCTGAATTGAATCTTACGTTGTTCAAAGTCAGGAGTGTGCCCCGTATAATTTTAGCTGGAGAGAAAAATGCCCAGGGGCTCAGATTCAGCTCTATGTAGAAGAGCCTACTCAAGAGGCAGAGTCAGTTTTGCACTGAGGGTCAGTCACAGGGTTTTCGGGGGGGCGCTAAGAGGCTAAAGTCTAGGCAAAGGTCAAAGCCAAATTTGGGAATCAAGCCAAAAACGTCTTCTTTGCCATCCCAGATTGTTTTCATTAAGCAGCTCACAGGTTTGACCATAAAGCCTATTAAAGGCCACCCATCAATTAGTCAGGGTTCTCCCGAGAAACAGAACTGAAAGGGTGTGTGTGGAGAGAGAGAAAGAGATTGATTTTAAAGAATTGGCTGGCTCACATGATTGTGGGGGTTAGCAAGTCCAAAATCTTCAGGGTAGGGCTGCAGGCCGAAGACCCAGGGACAAGATGTTGCATCTCAAGTTGGAAGGCAGCCTGCTGGTATATTTCCTCTGCCTCAAAAGTGCTCAGCCTTTTTTCTGTTAAGGTCTTCAATTGATTGGGTGAGGGTCACCAGATTTTGGAGGGCAATCTGGTTTAGTCAAAGTTTGCTGATTTAAATGTTCATCTCACCTAAATATAGCTTCACACAAGCATGTAGAAAGCCTGACTGAATATTATAGCCTAGCCAAGTGGTCACATAAACATAATCATCACAACCCACTCTCGAAAATTAACAGGCAGCCCTCCGAATCCCATCACTGAGACTTGAGTCTCTACCAATGATCTCAGGCTAAAGTGCTAAGGAAGTTCCTGTGTCTGTAGCATTGATAGGTCAGAAATACCCTATAGTGATACAGCCTCCTAGACCATACAGGTATTTCAAAGTGCTGGCCCTGGTGTTTCAACTCAGGATGCTACAATGAAAGGGTAGAAAGGCTCACACCTGTAATCCCAGCAGTCTGGAAGTCTGAGGCGGGTGGATCACAAGGTCAGGAGATCAATACCATCCTGGCCAACATGGTGAAACCCCATCTCTATTAAAATAAAAAATAAAAAAAATAAAAACTAGCTGGGCGTGGTGCCACACGCCTGTAGTCCCAGCTACTCAGGAGGCTGAGGCAGAGGAATTGCTTGAACCTGGGAGGTGGAGGGTGCAGTGAGCCGAGATTGCACCACTGCACTCCAGCCTGGCAACAAAGCAAGACTCAGTCTCAAAAAAAAAAAAAAAAAAAAAGAAGGTAGAAGAGGATGGTAAAATGTCAAGGAATTTTTTGGTAAAATGTCAAAGAAAATTTTTCATTTTTTCAGAATATTTGATTCTGAGTAGATGTTGTCCCTTAACATTTTAAAATTCCTATAAATCCAGCCTAGTTTGGTGTCACTTACCACTTACCAGCCTGGTTAATCCTATGAGTTTAAGAAGAAAGGACAGGTGGGCTCTGGCACATGCTCAGCTTGCAAATAGCCATCAAATACAGGTGAAAATTATTCTGGAAGGATGAAGATATATATTTACTTCTTGCTTATAGGTCAAAACACAGGCAAAATGCATAGCAAAATATCTTGCATGTATTCAAATACTGAGTGAACCGAATCAAAATAATTTTTAGCAAGTTCCTTCCTTCTCTGTACCTTAATAAATAGGTAACTTACTAATAAAAAGCTTTTCTAGAAGTTGCCAGGATATTCCATTTCTTTACATTTATTTATTTATTTAGAAACAGAGTCTGGCTCTGTTGCCCAGGCTGGAGTGTACTGGCGCGATATCGGCTCACTGCAACCTCTGCCTCCCGGGTTCAGGCAATTCTCGTTCCTCACCCCCTTGAGTAGCTGAGACTAAAAGCGCCCACCACCTCACTGGGCTTTTCTTCTTTCTTTCTCTTTCTTCCTTTCTTCATTTTCTTTCTTTCTTTCTTTCTTTCCCTCTTTCTTTCTCTTTCTCTTTCTTCCTTTTTCTTTTTCTTTCTTTCTCTCTTTTTTCTTTTCTTCCTTACTTCCTTTTTCCTTTCCTTCCTCTTCCTCCTCTTTCTCCTTCTTTTCTTTTATTCATATTTTCGGTAGAGATGGGAGTTTCACCATATTGGCCAGGCTGGTCTTCAACCTTGACCTTAAGTGATCCACCCCTCTTGGCCTCCCAAAGTGCTGGGATTACAAGCGTGGGCCACAATGCCCGGCCTCACTCCTTTAATAGAGCAGAAGTCACTCTGTTGAAAATCATGGTTTTATTCAAAATATGAAATACGAATGCATTAAGGTACATAGGCCTTTTGTTCTAATTTCAGCAATATGGGATTCCTGTGCCTGAGTAATTGTCAGGTCTTAAGGAAAGTTTGCATAGCCAGGCACCAAAGAAAATGCCCCCGGCCACCCCCCACCACCCAGGACTGAGCCTGCTGCCTTCCTTTGGCCCCGTGAGCCACGGAGGGAGCATGGAGAAGAAGGAGGCCTTGGCGTGTGCCCCGGCCATTGGTTGTCTACACTCTGTCCTCCACCAGTTTGGGGAAGTTGCTGAGCTCTCGCATTGCCCAGAGATGCCACCTCTTTGAGCTGAATCCGGCCGAGAAGACCAGCAAGATGAAGAAGTTGCGGAGAACTTAGTCTAGAGTTTCAGCTGCATTGCTTTGAAGACAGACAACACCTCCTTTGAAAAGGTGACAAGCGTTCGCTGTCAAAAGGTGCTGCTGCTCTGATAGGACTAAGAACCCCTGTTCTCATGAAGCAGCATGGAGTCAAGGCTTTCTACGCTCCGGCCTTTGCTTATTTCTCTATGCTGCTCACCTAACTTTTCTGAATTTGCTGCATTATTTACTCATAAGGGGCTCCTCAGAAAGGCAAACCATCCACCTTCACTTGCATTTTCAGTTAGGTAGGACAGACCAATGTGGAGGAAGGGATTCAGCTATTGCTGAGAGTGATTAACAACCAAACCCATGAAGACTCGGAGACTGGGGAGACTTGCGTGCCTCGGTCAGCAGTTGACTTGAAGTGGCCCACAAAGCTCAGAGACTAAAGGGCGGTACACAGTTTACCCAGTTGTGCTAAGAAAGGCTCTTGGCCAGGAGAGGTTGAGGCTGCCGTAAGCCATGGTCTCAACTCTGTATTCCAGCCTGGGTGGCACAGCAAGATGCTGCCTCAAAAAAAGAAAAAGAAGAAAGGCTCTAGGGACTGGGAAATGTGGTACCACCACACCTGGCTAATTTTTGTATTTTTAGTAGAGACAGGGGTTTACCATGTTGGCCAGGCTGATCTCAAACTCCTGACCTCAGGTGATCTGCCTGCCTCAGCCTCCCAAAGTGCTGGATTACAGGCATAAGCCACTACTGCAGCCCTATCCTGGAAAGCAATTTTAAAGACAAAACACTAGAGAGGAGCGGACTTCCTGACCACTGAGAGAAAGCTTATGTGTTTTATTACATTGGGGAATAATCAGAGGTTTTTGACTCTGAACCTTTTAGAGGCCAGTCCATGTTGCAATGAGGAATGTTGGTTTTGCTTTTCCATTTAAAAACAGAGACAGTCAATGGGGTAACATGGGTAGAAATGCCAGATATAGTATGCACCTAAAGTTAAATAAATAAATTTAAAAAAAAAAACAGAGGCAGTCATTTTCATATTTTTTCCCAGCAGTTGGGGCTAGAAAGTATGTTGTCATTAGAAATATTGTCAAAATTTGTTTTACGGTCTATATAGGTAAGCACATAGTTATGTACTATCAATATATCCCAAATTAATGAAAATGAAAATTAATATATGTACAGATACCTTTGCATTTTGATCCATAGAACATAGTAGCATGTTTTTAGTCTATCTCGAAGCTCCATATGTTTACATATTATTTTTGTAGGTTATTTTCAGAAGTAAGCTTTGCTTCCAGCACCTAAACAGAACACAGTTGATTCATAATATGGCCATAGTTACTATCTTGAAAATCAGTTTTCACCATCCCAAGCTCAGTACTCATTTACAGCAGGAAGCTGGATTCAGGGTGTTTTTCTACCTGAAAGCCACAATAGTGCCACATTTCTGATCGTCTAGATTATTCATCGGCAAGTGAGGGATTCCACAATAGGTATCATTTTCCATGATGCCTGAGTGTGCCTGTAATTACAGAAAAGGCTGTGAGCATCAGATCATGCTGTATTCTCTTTGCACAGGTCTTTTGTTCACTTATGACGTTACAAAACCCAGTGGGAAATAGTGGTCAAAGTAACGGCAACCCAAAATAAAGCAGACAGGACACTTGTGGAAAAGGCCCAGGATTTTTGTGCCAGATATTCCAGTCCATTTGATTGCAAATTGCAAAATTTTTTGAGAAGAAGCAATGTTTACATCAGGAAAAAGCGCTTTTCCATACAGTTTGTAACTGATACAGTCATCACTGAATGCCATCTTGAATTCTTAGTTGGTAATGGACTTTCACCTTATATTAATATAGACCACCAAGAAATTCTGTAAGTCACCTTTGATGTATATGAGATTTTCGTATCTTAATTCAGTTGGAAAATAAAGCAAGAAAAAATTTCCACCACAGACAATGAAGGAGACCTTACCTGGAACAGAGTTTTGATGGTCAAATCCAATGAATTGCTTGCAAATATTGTCTTTCACTTGGACCTCAGAGCCATCTAGAAAAATGTAGATGGTCAGTACATTGGTTCTGTTAAAGAATCCTTCAGGGATCCTTAGTTGATGTGGACATTGGGTACAGGGTATGGAGGAGGTGGGTTAAAAAGCATGGGCTGAGTTGCTGTTGGGCCATCCTCCTTAGTGAAGAAGAAGTAAAGAAAAGGATCAGGAAAGAAATGACAGAGCTGCCTTTTTCCAGCTAAGGCAACTTAGTCAACGTGAAATAGTCAATGTACACATAGGTTAATACAAAAATACATTATTTGATTCCATGACAGTGTCTCTTGACTACTCTGGTCATTTTGAAAGCCTGGAAAATGAACTGTCTTTTTCAATAATATAAAATCTCTAACTTTCTTACAAAAAAAAAAAGAGTGAGCATTTTGGCTTATGTATAGGTTAGAAGTAATTGTTAATTTTTAATATGTACTTCATGGTAAAATTTCTTGGACATATACAAGCAATTAAAAACCAAACTTAGGCCAGTGGTGTTAACTGGTTTCTAAAATTTGACTTTTATTTGTAACAAGTCATTTACCTGCAGTTCAATTAACATAAATGGAATCAACATAGTTTATGTTTAAGGAATACACAGAGATTGCGGCTGTTCTATTTATTTTCCATAAAGAATAGCCAGATTTTACTTTGGAACTTCCAGGAAGTGCTTCAGTGGTCTTTGAGCTAATAAAAATTTATCTTTCACCACTAAAAGGACATTATTCTTATGTCATAATGAGAAAAATCATTTAAGTACTTGGCATAATTAAGACTGCACCACTGCACTCCAGCCTGGGGGACAGAGCAAGACCCTGTCTCAAAGAAAAGAAAAGAAAATACTTGGCATATTTAACATAATAAATGCCTAAGAGACATCTTACTTTATAAATCTATTTTTTTTCTTGCTGTGTTGGGTATGCTATAAATCATGCATTTACATTAATGGTATTTCTTAAAGCAATAGATGTAACTGTGAACTAAATCAATCTGCAAACTATTGTTGGCATCTGTATTCTGTTCTACAACAGAATAATATAGTAGGTACTGTAAACTTTGTTGGAGTCTTTAGTCAGCAGATTATGTTGTAAATATATTTGTATGTTGTTAAAACATTTTAAAATTTATTTTGTTTAATAGAGTAAATATCTTTATTGAAGTGATAGCTGTGAAGGTATAAAACTTCACATTTGGATAAAACTCTACGGTTTACAAAGTTAAAGAAAGATGAAGATCAAAATATTAGGGTTAATATAAACAGAAAGTTTAATTAGGACTGCATCTTTTAGACAATAAACAGACAATCATTGTATTAGTCTGTTCTCACATTGCTATGAAGAATTACCAGAGACTGGGAGGTTTAATTGCCTCACAGTTCCACAAGTTGTACAGGAAGCACGGTTGGAGGCCTCATGAAACTTACAATCATGGTGGAAGGTCAGGGGAAGCAGGCATGTCTTACCATGGTGGAGCAGGAGAGAGAGCAAAGGGGGAGGGCCACATATTTTCAAACCATCAGATCTATCACAATAACAGCAAAGGGGAAATCTGTCTCCATGATCCAATCACCTCCTACCAGGCCCTTCCCCTGACAGGTGGGTATTACAATTCAATATGAGATTTGGGTGGGGACACAGGGCCAAACCATATCATTCCATCCCTCGTCCCTCCCAAATCTCATATTCTTCTCACATTTCAAAACCAATAATGCCTTCCAAAGAGTGCCTCAAAGAAGTCTTAATTCATTCCAGCATTAACTCAAAAGTTCAAGCCCAAAGCCTCATCTGAGACCAGGGAAGTCCCTTTCACCTATGAGTCTGTAAAATCAAAACAAGTTAGTTATTTCCAAGATCGAAGGGGGGGGGGTATAGACATTCAGTAAATGTTCCCATTCCAAAAGGGAGAAATTGGCCAAAACAAAGTGGCTACAAGCCCCACGCAAGTCCGAAATCCAGCAGGGTAGTCACTAAATCTTAATACTCCAAAATAATCTGCTTTGACTCCATGTCTCACATGCAGGGCATGCTGATGCAAGGGGTGAGCTCCCAAAGCCTTGGGCAGCTCCACCTCTGTGGCTCTGGAGTACAGCCCCTGCAGCTGCTTTTATGGCCTGGCATTGAATGTCTGCAGCTTTTCTAGGTACAGAGTGTAAGCTGTCAGTGGATCTATCATTTTGGTGTCTGGAAGATGGTGGCCTTCTCACAGCTCCACTAGGCAGTACCCTAGTGGGGATTCTTTGTGGGGATCCAACCCCACATTTCCCCTCCACACTGCCCTGTAGAAGCTCTCCATGAGGGCTCTTCCTGTAGCAGACTTCTGCCTGGACATCCAGGTGTTTGCATACATCCTCTGAAATTTAGGCAGAGGCTCCCAAACTCTTGGTTTCTGTGCACCTGCAGGTCCAATACCATGTGGAACCTGCCAAAACTTGGGGCTTGCACTCTCTGAAGCAAAAGCCTGATTTGTTCCCTTTTAGCCACAGTTGGAACTTTAACCATCAGATCTCGTGAAAACTCACTATTACTAAAACGGCAAGGAGAAAATCCACCCCCAGGATAGAATTACCTCCCACCAGGAGCCTCCCCTGACATAGGAGGATTCCAATTTGACATGAGATTTGGATGGGGACACAGAGTCAAACCATATCATAAAAAAAAAAAAAGCTTATATAGAATTGTGGTCTGGCATCCTGACAGCAAATGTCAGTTTCTTTATGAAGATAAAATCCTTTTAATTGTCAGAGTAAGCACCCTCTAAATTCCTCATCATACATTCTTAAAGTATGGAAATGTATTCATTTTTCATTCTTTATGGAATAAACAGAGAGGGGTACAAGTTGGTGAGGAGTGGCCTTTGGTCCACTGTGTCAGGAATGCAGAAAGATAAGGCTCCCAATTCTGCTGTTAAGTGAAACAATGCTGATAGAACTTGTGGGGGAGACACAGCTTCCATCTTTGGGTTAGTGACTCATTGTGCAGGAAGATGACCATCTTTTACTGCCCAACTATATCTCTCTACCAGTGTGAACAGAGAATAGCAACACAGTGATCACCTGCAGATAGACCTAGCTTTATCTGTACATAACACCAAAAGAACAAACCTAGACTCCAGAAGGAAATAAAAATTTTCAGTCCTGTCAGAATCCTCAATTGCTTTACATAATTTGGAGGTGTTGTTTCTGATCTACAGGTTATTTTAATGGTAGCAACTGTTTTTTACCCATAAATGTTGAGGTTATCTTATACTTCTCCTGTGTAATAGTTTTCCTTAGGAAAAATCTCATAGGGCAGTCATTCATCTGAAAAACACAGTCATCAGGAATTGGGGGGGAGGGGAAGGATTCTGAGATCAACTGGAGAAGCACATGATTAAACAAAGCACAGTAGGTCTCTATTGTAGGATTTCTCAGAGACCTTAATGTGCTTATAAGGATTGCCATTTGTGTGTGTGCACTGTGGGTGTTTTATGTATTATATGTCTGTTGTGTGAGTATGTGTATGTTTTCTGTGTGTTGTGTTACAGAATTGTTTCTCAGGGCATATATAGAGTATGACCTGGAAAACCCAATTTATTTAACATTAACTTTTCAGACATACTTCTTAAGCTGTAGCTTTGTTTTTTTTGTACTTTAAAATGTCAATATACTTTTACATCAGATAAACTGTTTCCTTATAACATAGCGTTTTCTTCTCAGAATTTTAGCTAAGATTGTACAAAATATACTTCTATTAAATATTGTTCCCTATCAAGTCTATAATCAATTTGAAAAGTGTTCATCTAGAAACTGAATAAATTTCAGCCTTGATATTAATAATACAAAAAATGCAGTATTTTAAACACTATTCAAAGAGGAAATAAAGTACTAGTGAAAGAGTAGCAATCATACTTCAAATATTATAATTTTATATTAAATGCTTTTATTTTGTTATTATACACAAAATAAGTTACAAAATAAGAGCATTTTAATATAAACACAGAACATGAATGAAGCATATTCATTTTACCGTAATATAAATACTGATATTGCACAATTCCTAAAACTTTTGTGATTCGTAAGTTAATTCCCAGCTGGTAAGTACTTAAATAATGTTAATATCATATCTTCTTTTTCTTTATGGGCACTTCCTTCCTTTCCTTGAACTAACAATTTTCTTTTCAGCCATTCTTACCCATCTGCAGTTCCTGAGCAAATATGCTGGCATACAATGGCAAATCATAATTGCCTTGCTTAACTGCAGAAAGTCATCCAATGTCTATTTACCATCAATCAATTAATATTGTGGTTCCAAATGGTAGTCTAGCAAAGTTCAACAATTCATTTATTTCAAAAGTTAAGGGAAATTCTACTCACTATAACTAACTAAATGTCTTTCCTTTTAGACAAATTACATTAATTACAGTTAATCTATTAAGAATACCCCTAGTTGATCAGAAGCTATATATAGGTGATGAATTAGATGGGGAGGGCTGGGCACGGTAGCTCACACTTGTAATCCCAGCACTTTGGTAGGCCAAGGCAGGTGTATCACTTGAAGTCAAGAGTTCGAGACCAGCATGGCAACATGGTGAAACCCTGTCTCTACTAAAAAAATACAAAAAATTTATCTGGGCACAGTGGCATGTGCCTGTATTCCCAGATACTCAGGAGCCAAGATCATGCCATTGCATTCCAGTCTGGTGACAGAGCGAGATTCCATCTCAAAGAAAAAAGAAATAGTGGGAAAATAAAAAATAAAAAGAAATGATTACTTAATAAATAACTTCAGCTAATATAATAAAAATCTTGAAAACATGAGGTACATGGAAAAAAAATAATGAAAATATTTGGAATTATGGAATTTAAAATGCCCAACCTCTGATGAAAATGAAAAACATTTATTGAAAAGTTACTATGTGTCAAGTAGCACATTAAGTGACTCACACGTACCATTTTATTCCCTCTTTATCATCCTAAAATAGGTATAATTTTTATTCCTATTTTACCATAAAGATAACAGATTCAGAGGGGTTAAGTAATTTGCTGTGGTTGCACATCTAAAAAGTAGCAAAGCTGAGATTTAAACACACTCTCTTATACTCCCCGCCAAATATGGAGAATGTATTAAATTTCTGTCATTTCATAACATGATATCACCAGCTTAGGGGCTTAAAACAACACCACTTATTATCTCAGTTTCTATAAGTCAGGAGCTGAGGCAAAGCTTAACTGGGTCCCTTGCTCAGGGTCTCACAAGGCTGTGATCTAGGTGTTAAGACAGCTGCATTCTTTTCTGGAGTCTGGAGTTTGGGGTCCTCTTCCATGTGTATATGATTTCAGAGAGTTCACTTCCTTGAACCTGAAGGACCAAGGGCCCTGTTTTCTTGCTGGGTCTCAGCCAGGGGCCACTTTCAGCCTCAGGAAGGCTGCCCACAGTTTCTTGCCATGTGGTACCTCACTACTTCAAGACCAAAAGGAGAACGAATCCTTCCAGTCTGCTATAATGGCAGCTTACATAGCAATAACATAACCACAGGGGTGACGATCCCATCATCTTTGCCATATTCTGTTCACTAAATGCAACTCATCAGCTCCAACAAAACTCAAGGGGAGGAGTGTATACAAGGGTATGACTCATTGGGGTTTATCTTAAAATCATACCTACTGTAAGTACCAATGTTCTGTTCCTGTTTTATTTACTTAACTGATGACTGTCTTCTGGATTGGAGTCAGTATTACCTGGGAAAATACCAAAGCAGTCAAATTAGCTATCACTTGTACATATGACAAAGACAGAAACAAAATGATAGATTCAAGTAGACAATAGGGGCTCCAACTTCTGTAAGCTTGAGGACTAGTGTGTCTACAGTAAATCTATGATTTCATTGTTGAATAATTTGAAGTCAATATTAGATGAATTCCCCCAGTAAATGAAGGACATTACTTAGCACTCAACACTAAAGGCCAATTTTCCAAAGGCCAGTTTCTCTATTAGTGAACTTGGTTTTAAATAAGTAAAGACCATTTAAGTACTCAGTTTTTCTAACTAATAACCAAAAAGATCAACATCGTGTTGAACCTGATCCCCCCCGCCCACTGAAAAGAAAAAGGTTTTAGTGACAACTCTCGGAAGTGGTGAATTTGGGACCCAGCTGCTTATAGGCATTACCCCTACGGCAGGATAATCAAGGGGTACTCCCTTCTTTCAAGCACTATCGTACTGGCTCTGCTAGTCATTCCTTCAGGGTTACAAGGAAGTAATGTGCACATATTGTTAACCAACATAAAAGTTTATTTCAAAGTACCATGGGAACGGCCAGCAAAAGGAGGCATTATTCATCAGCAGCATAGCTGTTCAGGGACCTTAGGTGATCCATTAAAATGTACAGCCAGCATCATAAACAATCAGGGATATTTGCTCACTATTACTCCAGAAAAAACAACAGGCTTCAGCTGAGTCATCAGCTTTCTCTTTAATCATTTGATCTATATTCTTCTAAATGCAGGATGTGATTGGGCCATTTAGCACTGCATGGTATGGAGGGATTTAATGGGCATAGTCTCCGCCAACCTCCCAAGGGTGACTGTTTCCCTTATAGCCAGCCCACACAGGGTTGCCTTCAGCTTTGAGCCTGGCCCATGTCCAGCAGGTGGTAGCCAGTTAACAGGAAGCTCCACTGCCTAAGAAAGAGTGAACATGAACCAATTAATGATTATAACAATACTGGCAAAAAAGTTGCTGGGGGGACACATTTTTCTTAAAAGATGGATATGTAAATAAAAAGTATTTACAAAAATGTATGGATATACCCTTTGGCCCATGTGATTCAAATGAGGGAAGTGTATACATATATACACTTACAACATCATTTATAATACCCCCAAATCAGAAACAAACTAAATGCCCAATAATAACAGATCATGAAATAAGATTTTCTAATACCAGACATTAAACATAACTATGAAGTTACGCAAAAACTTGGGAAAAAGGCAAGCCAATTCTTAAATAGGAGAAAAGATTATATAACCACATATAACTTTTAGGATTTCAGTCACTGCCCACTAAAACTTTGACTCCACCCTTAATTTGCTTAACAAACAGTTAGCAAAGATGAACCCCGTCAACCTTTCCTTCAAATGACCACAAACTCCATTTGAGCAACATCTGAATGAATAGGATTTACCTATTCATGCAGCATAGACCAGCACTAAGATAAAGGATAGTAGATTGAGTTGAATCTATCTCTAGGAACATATACCAAAGAAACAACCCAAGATGCACGTGAATAATTACGCATAAAAACTTTATACCAGTATTTACACTGTACCAGTATTTACATTACTTTACACGAGTATTTACACTATGCTAGTATTTACATTAGCAAGGTATTTAGAAAAGATGAGAAAATGAGATTTCCATAGTCACTAATTCATTTAAAAAGTATTTATTGAATGCTCACTCTGTATCAAATATTATTCTAGTCATGGAGAATACATCAGTGAACAGAAATAGCTTATGTTTTTATGGGTAAAGACAGGTACTAATGAAATCAACCAGTAAATACTTTGTATGCTGTCATAGGTTGAATGGGTCCCCCAAATAAGATATGTTGAAGTCCAACCCCCAGGATCAGAATGTAAACTTATTTGCAAATACGATCATTGCAGGTGTAACTAGTTACATTAAACTGGTCATACTGGAGTAGAATAGGCTCTTACTTCAATATGGCTGGTGCTCTTATAAGAAGAGAGAGACACAGAGGGAAGACGACCATGTGAAGATGGAGGCAGAGACTGGAACGATACATCCACAGCCATGGAATGCCAAGATTTGCCAGCCATTTATAAGAAGCTAGGAGACAGGCGTGGAACACAGTCTCCCTCTGTGCCCTGAGAAGGAACCAACCCTACTGACATTTCAATTCCAGACTTTTAACATCCACAACAGAGTGAAAATAAATTTCTCTCCTTTCAGACCACCTGGTTTGTGGTACTTGGTTACGGCAGCCCTAGGAAACAAATATAAATGCCACATAGAAAAAGCAAGATGCAGAATAGTTAAAATAGGTAAGATTGCAGATAAAGGAGTATTAGGTAGAGAGATTGCTCTTTATAAAGACTATGAAAAGAGAGTTTCACAGGTAAGATGGTGTTTGAACAGGAACCTGAAGCAAGGAGGGAACATGACAGGCAGGCATATGGGGAGAGAACATAACAGATCAGGATGCAGCAAAGCAAAATTCCAAAGGGAGAAGAAGCTGGATACCTGCATGCCTGGAGCAGAGTGGATAAGGGCCAGAGGGGTGTGGGATAGAGGCAGCAGTGGGAGATAGAAGCCCTTACTAGCAGTGACATTGCAATGCCTTTGAGGGTTTGAGCAGATCCGTAACATTATCTGGTTACTCTGTTGAGTATAAACTGTCACGGGACCAGGATGGAATCTGGACGAAGACCCATCAGGGGGCTCCTGAAATCATCCAACCAAGAGATGTAGATGGCTTGGGCCAGTGTGGCTGCAGGGAAGGTGAGGTTAGATAGGAATTCCATCTGATTCTGGAACTACTCAAAGGGCAAGACTGGCACATTTTATAAAGGACTGGCTGTGTGATGTAAGAGAAAAGAGTCGGAGAAGACCTCAGATGAGGTTTGAGGCCTGGAGGTTTGAGGTCAAGGATGGAGCTGCCATTTGCTGAAAAGGGGAACCTGGAGTACAGGTTCATTAGAAGTTTAGCTTAAGACACAGTAAGTTTAGTATGTCATTAGCCATCTCAGTGGAGATGTCAAATAGGCAGTATTCAGGGGAAAGTTCAGGCTGGAAATAGAATCTGGGAGTTGACAGGGATGGATGGTATTTGAGGCTATGACGCTTGATGGGCACTCCTGGCAAGTGAATGCAGATGGAGAAGGAAGAGGAGAGGTCTGAGGCTTTAGGACTGAGTTCTGGGGCAGCTCCTGCTGTTAGAGACTGGGGAGAGATGAAGAGGTTCTGCAAAAGAGACTTAAAAGATTCTAAGGAGGAGAAGCAAGAGGGAAATGTCCCAGCAGCCAAGAAGAAAATGTTTCAAGAAGGGAACGGGAAAATATTATGCAGCCATTAAAAATAATGTATTTGATACAATAGAGTGACTATAAGTAATAATCATACATATTGTATATATATATGTTATATATTATATATAAATAATTATCTAATTGAAAGTTGCTAAGAGAGTAGATTTCAAGTATTTTCACCACACAAAAATAATAAGTATGTGAGGTGACAGATATGCTAATTTCATTATTCCATTATATATAACTATCTAAACAACATGTTATACACTACATATGTACAATTTTTGTTTGCAATTAAAAAAATACATTTGAATCTTAACATTATAGAAATAGGATGATATAATCTCCACTGGAAAAAAATGTTAGGTCTCCAAACCGTATGCAGCCAAATCTTAATTTTGTTTAAAGAAACATATGTAGGCATAGAAAAGAAAAATCTGAAGAAGTATAGGGATGTAAATAGTTATTTCTGATTTTTACTTTAGGATGGCATTTGTTTTCTACTTTTATAGAAATTTCTAAGCTTTTTACTATGAGCTTATTTCCCAATAAATATGTATATAAAAATTTTAAAAATCATAATAGCAAAGACTTTTAGATCCAGTGTTTTAAAAGCAAAAATATGTAACACTTGTAAAGTCTTTAAGAAAGACAATAGGAACTGTTGAAACGACATGTAGTTAAGTTTCCTTGTCATAATTTTGCTGTCTTCCCCTCCAAAAGAGAAAGAAGAAAAATATTAAATTTTTTTCTTTTTTTTTCACTTGTGTTATAATGATCTCTCTTCAGACAGAAGGGCATAATTAAAATAATGTAATGTTTTTCATTTAAATAAGCATTTCTATAGAAATGTAGAAGCTGGGTTTCCATTTCATTGTTAAGGATCAAGGTAACCTTGAACAGGTCATGTAATAAGTCTGGGTTCTGGTTTCCTCATGTGGGTTAAATGAGATTGATGATGCTCCACAGCTCATAGTGTGGTTGTGAGACTCTCAGACTAATTTAAATTACAGACAGTGTAGCTGTGAGAGTGAAGAGAGGCCGCAGGGATGACTCTTCCCCCAGTATCCTCCAGATTACGACTTTGTTGCCAGCAGCCAATACTGGCAGCGAAAGATGGCTTAAACCAGTTGGCTTGCTTTCAATGCCCATAATTGGCCACACTATCTCTGCAGATGGTCCCTGAGGGCACAGCTCCTGCTTGGCAGAAGAAAGAGTCAGTGGTTTTCAACCAGGCCCCAGAAGTGTAGGTTTCATTTCCGAAGCTGCTAGTAAGAATGGGTGCCACATTGCCCTGTTATTAGCCTGCTGGAGCCAGCAGTCAACCTGAGCTCCGCCCACCCTGAGGTCCTGCCTGGGCATGTGCTGGAAGTTCCTTTAAACAGATTCAAATAACAACATTTTATGTCTCAAGGTACCAAAAGCATGAGGGGCTGTCTGGACTCAGCAGGCTGCACATTTCTCCAAACAAAAAATTTATCACTGATTCTTTTAGCAATAAAAGGGGAGAGAGAGAAGTTCAATAATAGAAGTAATAGGTGCAATTATAAAAGTTCCAATCATACTCTTTTGTTATGAAGTTAATTCCTCAATAAAACATGCATACAACTCAAGAACAACAAATAGAGCTGGTTTCTACTCTAGGAATAGAAGCTGGTTGTTTTCCACCCAAAAGCAAGGTAATAAGCAGAAAGAGAAAACACTTTTATTTCTCTTAAATAGCAGGTACGCTCAGGAGCCATTCTCACTACCAGGGAAAAGAGAATGGGATTTGGAATCTGTAATGTGATCACCCACTTGCATACCTGGATGAGTTCATTAACAATTCTGAGACTCCAGTCACTTCCTATTTTGGTAAAGATTGGGCTAATCATATCCACTCTCAAGGTGGTTGGGAGGATGAAATGCTGAAAGCACAGCTGGCTTTTTTTGGCTGACATTTATTGTGGGCCTGCTTTGTTTCAGCAGAGCCAAGCTTTGGGTAACCCCATCAACCATATGCTTTCCAAAATTCCACGTTACCTTTCCCAGCACTGTTCAATAAACATCAGGCTCTCTCTTCCCCACAGTGTGCCCACCCTGCACTTTGTGCAGCCAGAGTCTCCAACTTCAATTTGTGCATCTTCAGTTCTGTGAAAGTAGTGACAATCTACTGCTGCTTCCTTCATGATACCTCTCCACAGTAATCTTCTTCCCTCTCAATCAACTCCTGCCATCCCCTACCTAATTGCATTTTCCAGCACTCAGGAATTCTCAATCAATCTGCAATTTCTCTTCCTAGAATTCTTCCCCCTCAAGAGTCCTGATCACATGTGAAACAAGTTTAGCCATTGTGCAAATTAGTTCTGTGGCCAAGTTCCTAATGCGAAGTCTAGCAGAAGCCAAGGGTGGGACTAGGAAAATGAAGTCAGTGTGACAGCCCCATGGTGAGTGGGAGGGTTGGAAGGCTGTGTGATACAAAGGAAAAAAACACTAGACCAGGCGTCTCAGCCTCCCAGATCTACCCCTGAGTCCTGTGGCCACCGTAACATATTTATTATCTATGGGCTTCTATTTCCTCACCTGTGAGATCAGGAGGTTGAGATTAAATCAGACATGGTAAATAGGTGGTACTGGTGCCATCATTTACTCATTCACTTACCTCCCCCACTCCACACACACATACATCCATGGCACATATCATCAACCAATCAATACATTATTTCCTGCAGAACCCAGACTAGCCCCAGTACTCCAGGCAATCACCACCAAACAATCAGAGTTGGCATAGGATACAATATTTCTCTGTACTATCCTTGAGCTATAATCTAAAAATCCCCTTTAATATTTGAACATTCTCTCCTTCTATGACACGGTTTTATTCGGCAAACAGGTTTGCAGACTCAAGAGCATAACTATAAAGTGGGGCAGTGTAACTTCCTAGAAATCAACAACACGTACCATCTAATGCCTCTTTATACTGCAGCTCTGGGCAGATGGCAAATGGCCAGGCCAGCCCGCCATGTGAGGAAACCAATCCTGACTATAACCCACAGCTCCTTGTCCATGCAATGAGAGATGGTCCTTTAATGCCCAGCACTGACTTTTCATTGGAATTTCCAAAGAGCATATCCCATGAGCCTCGTTTCACCACAGATAATCAGACTAATTCCTCAGACTCCACAGTGCCAAGTCTTTCCTTACTTGCTAGCTTCAGTGTCTGCTTTGGCCTCCTGCCCTGCTTGTGAAGCTCTGGCCCTCTCCACTGTAGATTCCACAGCCCATGACCTCGACTCAACTCTGTATCTGGCTCCAGTCACCCCGGCTTGATTTGTTGCCCCTTTCCCCTGCCAGCCAGGGCCCAGCAGCCCCAAAACTGCCTGCCCTCTGTTGCCCCATTTGCCTCTGGCCACCCAACTCCAACGCGGAATCTCTCCAGACGTGTCTGATGCCTCAGCACTTTCCCTACTAGCAGCGAGTGGCACTCAGTGTTGGGCACTCCCCTGGCCCTGAGGGGACTGTAGAACAGTGGGATCCTTGCTACCCCATGGCCTTCAGTGGCATCCGTAGCTCCCTTTTCTTATCTGAATTTCTCTGCCTGGTTTCTAAGGTCCTTTGTGCTCCAGCCTATCTTTCCCACTTCCCATCACCCCTCCACACTAGCCACCCTGCTTTTCTGGGTGCAACATCAGCCCCCACACCCACTCCGACCTGAGGCCTCTGGACATCATTTTCCTCTTGCCAGGAACTTCCTCTCCTCTTTCTCAAGGTCCTCAAAACTACCAATTCTTCATAATCCAGCTTACATCCCATCTCCTCCATGAAGCTTTGCGAGTATGCACAGCTTCGATTTTTGCCTAACATTTAACTTCCCCACCAGATAATTTAGTACTTAATTATATATTACTTCACAGGACTCACAGGATTTTACAGAGCAGAAGTTCTTTGAGGGCAAGAACTTGCCACATGGCCTGAGTGTCTCTCCCTGGTGACATTACAACAAATTAACAAGCAAAACAAACATTATTGAGTTCCTCTCCTATGACAAAAGGGCTGAAACACTTGCTAATTCGTTTTTTGAACCATTGAGTAAGTATGCTGCGATGCATCAAATTCTTGCCTATCTATGTCCCATCTGGATCATAACAGATCCTTCTCTCCCTGAATTAAAGAAAAAGTTAGATTATGCTGGAGTCAAAAAAAGTATTTGCCTATTAGGCTTTAGTAGTGGTTTCTAAAATTTTAATACAGAGTCATCAGGGGCAATTTCTAGAAGAGCTGATTTCTCAGCTGCACTGATAGAGCTCCTGATTTCGTGGGTCTGGGATAGGGCCTGAAGTGTGCATTTTAATAAGTTGTCTAGGTAATTTTAAAGTATACAGCTCTGATGAAATTGTACTCTGAAGAAAAACATAGGGCTGTGGGAACCTCATTTTCCAGAGACAATTAACCTTTCCAGAGATAATCTGCAATGGGTGGGGCAAAGGCAGAGAAGAGGCCACCACCCCCAGAAAGGACTATCCAGATTTTCCTCAGCCTCTTCCTTGGTTACACTCCAACTCTGATTATGAAATCTCTGAGACCCTCAGCCAACAGGTCATTTGGCCTTGAAGAGTCATTTTTATCTGCAGAGATCTCCCACCCACAGGTCTCAACTTAGCCTGCCCTCACTGGAGGAAACAAACACACCAGTGCTCTCTTCATCAGCTGCAGTGTTGGGCTTACAGGTTATTTTAACTCCATTATGAATCAGAACAAAATTATGAATAATTTATATGAGACTCGTCACATCTTGTTTCAGTCTTTCTTTGGCTCATAGTTTTCCTTGTTTGGCCTTTCAAATACTTATACATCTGATTATTTTAAAGGCTTTGAGTCTGGAAGACTATATATACAGCATTACACAGAGTCTGGCTTCTCATGGCTGACATCTCAGTGAGCTCTCAAATTTACAACACCACGTGTCAAAAGTAAGGAAACAGAGAAAGCTTCCAAAAAGGCAGGGCAGAGCTGGGTAGGGTATCTCGGCTGAGTAATTCTTCTGTGTGTCTTAGCATGCCGTATACAGAGGCCTGAGGCCAAACAGATTTCCACAGTAACT